TGACCGTGGCCCGGAAATGGCCTCTCTTTGGAGCCAAAATATTTGCTGCTAAGGTAACTGGAGCACACTTTCTTCTGTTGCCAAGCGTGAATTATCTGAGCAGAGACATACCTTCAGTGTGTGGTAACATGGGTTGAAAATTTTTCTACTTCAAAAAGGGAAAACAACTGAACAATACTCTGTTCTGAACAAACAGCCCTGGGTACCATATAGAAGAAAAAAGAAGGAAGACAAATGTATTCTAAACACTAGGGGTTGCTAGTGTTCAGTAAATAAATACTGAGGGTTCCCTAGCTGTGTCAAATGATCATGATACGGAGTACTAACAAGCCCTCCCAAAGCTTTCTCAGGCAGGAATTTCCCTGGGCATCAAGGCTGCAATGAGAGTTTAAAAAATACGATTTACATACCGCAGTGGGGGAGGAAAGGAAGAGTCCCCTCCAAGCCACAGCTGGTCACTGCTGCCAGCTATAAGGAGAATGGGTACTTCAAGCCTGTTTTCTGCTTGATGCAGAGCTGGATGCTTTCCTTGCCACATGAGAGAGGCAAGTGCTGCTAACGTCCTTTGCAGAAACAAAAACGAAAGTACACGTTGGGTAAGCTGCCAACCCACAGGCATCGGTGGGGGAGCAAAGAACACTGGAGGGAGTGGTTCTCCCAGTAGCTTGTACCATCCCTCACCCCATTCCAGGCTAGAGCTCTGTACCTGTTGCCTGTGCCTGAACTAATGTCTTAGCACATAGTGGCTGTCTGAGAAATCTTGTTTTGGCATTAACTGTCTTCCCCATCCCAGCAGAAATTTCTGCTGTTGGAACTTGAGGGAGGTCTTCTTCATGGTTACATGTCTCTTGCTTTGAAAGCAAAGCTGCTATAGTTACAGGAAAAAAAAAAGTCTAATGGTGAAAGGGTAAATGGAGTAAATATACAAGAAGTTTTCAAAAGGCAATTATTTCCACTGTCAGGACTAAAAGAGGTTACTGTCAGAAGAGGTTACTGGTATTTGAGGTTACTGACACTGAAGAATCAGAATATAGAACAAGTCTAGCACAGGTGAAATAATGTTAGTATTTCTGATGATTAACATATACTATAATTTTCCAGCAGTTAAACAGCAAAGCCTATGGTCCTGGTCTTGGCCATGTAATAGCAGATACCCAGGAAAAAATTATGTCAATAGCCATAACAAGTCATCTTTAACAGACAATTGATGCACATTTGGTGTAAGATTCTGTAAGAAATGAAGTGGCATTGATGAGATGGTACTGGGCACACTGATATAGAAACCAGCAGGTTTCATTGCCTTCCTGACTGATAGGAGCAGTATAAACACATGTGCAGAGCAGAGTTGCCATTTGGTTGCTCTGTCCTAGCACTTCCTTCAGTTTTAGCCAGTTTTAACTGATGGAATCTGATTAATTTCAAAGCCTTTGTTATCCTTGTATCTCTTGTGCCACTACTCTGAAAAGTATGTAAATCTGAAAATGTTATTCCAAGTTTTGGGAAAAGCCCTCTTAAAAATCAAACCAGGTCACACCAGCAATCCTATAGGATTTTTTTTCATCTTCACTCTATCCTTAAATCTCAACATTTATGTCAGAAACATCATTCTGTGGTGGTCAAGAAATATCTGAATTAATAATTTGCTTTTTCTCTAGCCTATTTTGCCTTCCTCATTGGAAGATTGTCCAGTCTGGATAGCTGTGAATGAAGATGGTATCAGCATACTGGATTATAACACAATGGTATGTTGAGAAACACTGTTCAAGAGAAAAACCCACCACAGAAGGACATTTCCCTGAGCCCACTGAAAATCACCAGTAGTTTGTCTTTAACTTCAGATGGATCCAGAAGCTAGTTTTTAAAAGTCAGAGATGAGGGAAGTCAGTGTTTGAGCACTCCATAGACAAAGGAAAATTGCAGCTGCAGTGTCAGGTAGGGCAGCAAACATGTTTTAACAAAATCTCAGTGGTGGGTGCTTTACTACCACTGTCTGGGATATAACAAAGTTTGTACTGTGAAGTAGTGAGGCATCGAGCAAACTAAGAGAAAACTAGAAATGAAATTTGCACTTGAGCTTGCTCTGCCAGCTGTTCCCTAGAGAGCCATCTACTGCCCTTTGCTGCTGGAGACCTGGCATTCTTGCAGGAAGTAGTAATATGAACTAATACATTAGTTTAAGGTGGACATTTGAAGTTTTTTACAGAACTATGACTTTTTCAAATTCTGTCTGCAGCATTTGAAGGTCTCTTATTCATACTCCTCTGTGCTGACCTTTGGAGGCTGTCGAGACGACTTCATGATTGTAGTCAGTCAAATGAAAGAAAGAAGTTCTGGAAAAAACAGCACTGAAAAACTCCTCTTCACAATGGCAATTCCAAAGGTAATTACAAATGAACAGTGAATTTCTTTCCAGCTGGCACCATCAGGGCAGGGTGTTTTGTATAAGCCCTGGGGATTGGTACTTGTGACTGCTGCACAACTGTGCACATTCAACAAATCCCTTGTAAGCTGGAACCTTTGAACAAGAGTTACTCTACCTAACTCTTAAAGACAGAGCTTCATTTTAAATGAACAATCCCATGAGAGAAAGCAATTTACAAAAGCTATTCAGTCAACAGATTCTAAAAATCAAAGGGCATTCTTACCTCTAAYTGACCTACAGTTAATCATTTTCTCTTTTCCTCAGATTGTTGAAGCAACACTTCTTATTGCCAGCTACATTAACTACCGTTCAACTTCTTCACTGCTGTCTTCCACTCAGCCCTCACGAAGCAAAACACCTGCTAAGAAGCTCTGGGAGACTGAAAATCGGTGCTTTTTTCCTTCTGTGCCCCGAAGCACTAAAGGGCCCACCCTGCTCTGAGGGCTTGTTCCAGATGAATTGATTTTATTGGTTATATACCACATATTAGTGCAGGCTCTGATTATTTTTCCATAATAGACAAGGTTCCGTAATGGTAGAGGCAGTGTATTTTCTCTTAAAAAAAAAATAATAGTTCATTTGGGGGACTGTGCAGGAGTTTCCTTTCCACAACACACTCCATCCAAAGTACCATTCCTCAGGTCATTTGCCTGCACAGTGCTCCAGTCATTACATCTGCACTCATTCTTCTGCCTCCTAGCACACTGCCTTGCTTTACAAGCACATACATTTTCTTCAATCCCTCCCATTTTCAGCTTTCAAATGACAGAAACTTTCATATCCTCGCTCAGACATGAAAAAAAGATTGCCGAGAAGGAGGGAAATTTAACTCACAAGAATAATTCTGATGCAAAGTCAAGGGTGATTTCAGACCCGAAATAGTGAGTATAGAATTAGAGTTTAACTTAAGAATAAGAACATACTTAAGAATATTTTCAACTTTTAGTAAAGGTGGAAACCTAGGGTCTTTGCATGTTGAGTACTCGGAACCACTTGGACTGGAACAGTGTCAGAGGATGGCCTGGCTCTTACAGGACTGGTGCATGTCAGAAGCTGATGCTGTTCTATGCAATACATGAACATTAGATCATCCTGCAGAGCAGGGCTCAGTGTGCCMCATGCTCCACTGTCAGACAAGCACTTTCAAAGACTTTCTGATAACCACTTGTAGAAGTGTTTGGAACTGCACATTATCTCAGACAAAGAAAGACAAGGCAAGCAAATTTTGTACTTTTTCTGTCTTTCAGCAATTAGGACAGATCTTCCCAGACAAGCTCTGCCATTCTGACTTGACAGAAGCTGCTTCTTTCCAACTCCTGCTTCCTTCATGTAMTATTAGCAAGGAGGAGGTAGTCAGCAAATGTGCACTCGTGTTCTTCTGACTTTCCTAAAGAATGTTGGTAGGTTTGATTTTTTGGATCTGTTTCAAAGGGACTTTGTTATGACAAGATTATTGARTTTTTAAGAAATAAAAGAAAAATAGCAATTCTTCATGAAAAATCTAAATCTATGTAGTTTAAGTTCAGCTATTTTGATAAGTATTGTAAAAAAGATGAGGAAGAATAACCATTTTCAAAAGTACCATGTCCAACTTCATAATAATTACGCATTCATGGGCAACTTTCCCAAATTAAACCACTGTGAATCAAACCACTAGGCAGAATTCAGTAATAGCAAACCAAAGTTATTTGCAAATAAASAAACCATACAATTGTTTTTACTCCCTAGTACCTGCCAGCAACCTTGACACATCTAACTAATGCACAGAGGAGAGCTGATACATCAAGAAGTTTTTGTTTCATGCTTATGGTGGATGCAAAGTCACAAACTAAAAGACAAGAGCAGGGCACAGATAACAGTTATTCTAAGTAATCCCTCATCAGCATCTTTGAATATAGAACAAAAAAACCCAAACAACTGCACAAAACAAACCCAACCCCAAACTACCCCATGGTGAGTTACAGAAACAATATGGCAGACCTAAGACAGGGAAAGATTGTATGAACAGTGGCCTGATTTGCACATACTGCAATGTACCCAGTTATTAAGAATTTAAGGACCATCCCTTGAAAGTACAGAAAAGGGTAGAAGCTTTCTGAGCCAAAAATAATTTTAAGAAGGCATTTAGTCATTTTTGTTTCCCCTTAGATACTTTTCAGTGATTATATATCCTGACAGTAGTTTGTATTTCCTCTCTCTCTCTCTCTCAGCGATCTTGGTATAATTATGTCAGTTTGAATACACAAAGTGTTACTCCTCCTCACTCTGTCACCTGTGCCTAACAATTTCTCCTGTAGCTGAAGGTCTGTTTGACAGTTTGCTTCTGGTATCCCACGAGTAACAAAGCTGCTTCAGAAGAGGCTGGAGCCATCATCACTGCTGGGGATGCTCAAGGCATAGTGTCTCCAGCTCATAGGCTGTACAGTGCTAACACTCATGTCCTCAGGGACTTGAGGAGACTTGAACCAGGGCAAACAGGAAGGAGATGTTAAATAAATGGGAGCTCTGCTGAAGCTCATTATTTTCTGCCACAATTGCACTTTAAATTGAGAAACATGACACATAGAACTTTCTTTCTTATTTCTTAAAAATATTCACCAATACTTGAGTGTTTCAGGGACCACCCCACTCTGATGATGCACATATCCCTCCTATTTATAGCTTATTTGTCTTCAAACACCCCACCCTGTGTAGATATCTACTTTCTATGATTCTTTGGTAGAGAAAATAATTTTTTATTTTAATCAATGCTTTTGGCAAAGACTGCTAATGCAGCATAGAATGAAAAGACAAAAGCCTTTGTGTTCCTAACTGCTGTGTGTATGTAAAAGGCTGTCTGGAAGATACTGTGAGATTTCTGTTCTTAATAAAATGCAGCTCATGAATTAATAATCATTAATTAAAATTGTGTGTTATTCTCAGAATGACAGAAACTGTCTTAAAAGCCAAAATATTATTGATGTAAATACAAATGAACAAAGATTGTGTTTGGTATCCAGGCACATAGCTGGTACAAGCCTCCCCTAGACTGATTCCTTGTTTCTGCTGATCTTCTCTCAGCTGAAGTGGATGACTATATCATGGGCACATGATGTTCACTCCTTCAAATGATTGCTAAAACCATCCTTCAGACTTCTACTGTGACACAGCTTCTTGGTAATTTCTTCAGTGCACATTCTGAGGACTTCATGGGATTTTTACAGCATAGTCAGCATTCACAACACACTCTTGAGCCCACGACCCTGTACACTCTGCTAAGACATAATTTCTGACACAAAAGGCAGTGGCACATCCCCAAGCTGCTGCCTTTCATTCAGACAACCAGGATACTTTCTGTGACATGAGCTAACCTCTGTCTTTCAAACTTTGTGGCACCATAGGAAAAAACCCACAAATGCCCTTATCCCTCCCTTATTGCATGATGGTATTGTGCTTCATTTACAGATTATGTGGACAAGCACAGTACAGCATTGTATGCAAAATAAGCATGGCTCCAGGCTCCTGCCAGCTTGTGGGTTTAGCTCTTGTTCTGACACTTCAATTGCCTCAGTTGTATAACTAGAGAGTTTTGGAAAACAAAGAGATRAAAATACCAGTTAAGTAAATACAGTAACATTTAGCTTATCAACAAAGAAGAATTTCCCAACCTTAAGTTACTACCAAGAACACAGATCAATAACACTTTATTCACATTGTCATTACCATCATTTCCACCAACATGTACTTCATATTCTCAGAGTAACTGWTGTGGCCCTTTAAATGCCACATCTTTTCTGTGTCCTGTGTCAACAGGTCTTGTCCCATTCAGCAATGCGTTCACATTTCCCCTGCATTCACTGAACAATTTTTGTGTTCAGGTTTTGCCAGGAGYAGCTTGCTCATCCATGCAGGCTTCCTTGCATGTCTTCTTGACTTCCTGCTGGCAGGGATGGACTGTTCTTGAACTTAGAAATGATCTTTGACTTTCAATCAGCTTTCTTGGACCCCTCTTCCCCCTAGGACCCTATCCCATGGGACTCTTTCAAGCAGAGCCCTGAAGAGGTTTCAGTCATGTTTATTTCCTTAAACCGAACGTAATGCAAGAGTTTCATTTGCTGGGTTTGTCCTGAAATTCTCCTGTGATCAGAAAGTTACCATCTGAGTCCGCACATCAGCTTTGGTATTTAGAATGGTTTTTTCAAGCAAAGGGTTAAATAAAAGAATGCATACTTACAGTAGTCCAGCCAAGGTTATTTTATAATTTTAGAATAATGTTCAGATGTGTGAAAGAGTAAAAAATGGATGCATTTTCTTGTCTCATTTTGCCCTACTTCCCCATAATTCYTTTCTGGTGAGGCAACAAAAAACCYTTTCTGTCTGAGCCTAAAAAGTTCTGCTCATGGGGCACTTCTGCTTGCTCTTCCACGGTTCCCCCTGAGTCCTGCTAAGTTTGCTGCCTTTTTTTCCCGCTATTTTATTCCACTTGATTGTGGAGCTGTCTTCCTCTGCTCCAAGATCTCTTGACAACTTTTGTACACTTCTATCAAGCAGTCCAGACGAGGCTTGGAGCTCTAAAAGTCAAACAACAGAGAATCAGGCTCTGAACTGGCAGTAAAACAGCTGGAAAGCTTGTAATTTCCCACTAGAAGCAGGCAGAGACAGGACTGTGGGGAGAGCTGACACCAAGCCATCGGAAGTGTGTATGTGTAAGGAGTGCAGTAACAAGATACTTGTGACTGATCAGCTTTCTCACATTAAGTCAGTGGTGAACAGATTTCCCTTGTACATGTGCATTTAGAAATAATCCATCAAACTCCATGTGAGCTGGTGATGCAGGAACGCAAAGCCATTCCATTGCCTGCTCTTTGATARAAAAATGCCACTCCCTAAAGCTGTCAGGTCAAGACATGCAGCAGCATTCTGCAGGTAGCCTGAATCTCTCACCAAATCAGAAATCCTCTCCTTTTTCAGCTCACAGTTCACAGTGMTGTCCTGGAAGAATATCCACACCACCCTACCCATCACCATATCTACTAGGCCATACTCTCCCTAGAGACAAAGGAACAGCAGACTTCCATATGCTGATCAACCATCCCAGAACATCTCCACTCTGAAAAATCTACCTTCAGGACAGGGAATTTAGGCACCTGACTCTTGGCCTCTGCTAGTACTGCCAACATAAGGACAACAGAAGGTTAACTGAAAACATCAATTAATTTTACCCAAACAACAAATAGTGATCAAAGTACAATGACTTTTCATCAATTCTAACCTGGAYCAGAGTACAACCAGCAAGAAGGTGAAAGTTTCACAGTCCCACAGTCCCTATGATCCTGTAACTGTTGAGGTCCCAAAACAGCATTACTGTTTAAARTCCACCAGATGCTTCCTTGAAAGTGTTGCTTAACAGAAGGTCAATTCAGTGCAGAAGGACTCCTGGGCTCAGTGACACAGGAAATTGTATATTTGAAGGCTGACATAACTTGGAGGAACCCAATGAAGGAAATGCAAATGTTACCAATCATTGCTCCTTCAAAACAAAGTGACATACTAACTTGCATGTTAAAGTAAGAATTACAGACAGGTACTGAATTTCAAATTTCTGTACTTCCATTGATGGTGGAGTCAACTCTACCAGTACTAAGATATTTCCATGAAAATAAAATTGTTCAGAGTTGAGACAGAAATAAAAAGAGAAACAATACAGATGCCAGGCAGCCTCTTAGAAGCTGGAAAGGTAAAATCAGGCACTTGAATTCAGCTTTCTGGAATTTATTAGTTGTTGATTTCCAGCAAATCCACTTTTTCCCTTGTCTACGTGTGAAATATCTAATTTATATTACTGTTATTAAACATCTTTGTAACTGTTGGACTAAGCAGCAAATATCAGTGGAATAACCTATTTATACTCYGAAGTATTTAGCTGAAGACTGACTGTATCCAGTTACCAACTATGTAGATTACAAAATAGTCTCCAGCAGCAGGTAAATTAAGGACAGAGAGGGCTACACAGCTCAGCAGCCTCAGAAGGAAGTGAGGCACCTCTGTACTGCTTACCAYCACTCAAGGATCAGGGCATTGTTGTGTTAGGCATGAACACACACAAGGCACATCCATTCCAAAAACGGAACTATGAACAGTCAGAACAAGTCAGCAAGATAGAGGGGAGACAGGGTAACAGCAACACAAACAAGTTATTATACATTAAGCCAAWTGGTCACAGCTTGTACCATGATCTTTGTCAACAGCTCAGGCAGGGCAAGTCATTCCAATGCCGAGRAGGTTTTGAGAATTTCTGGCACACAGAGCTGAGAAAAAAGCCAACTGCAGCACAGTGCCAGAGTTATGGTGGCAACCCTGAGCACAGGACTGCACAGAAAGCTCTACAAGTCCTCAGTACCATCCGTGAGCCAAAGACTTTTAGTTCATGCAAACTCCTGTCTGGGTTCAGATTGACACAACTCCCCCTGTTCTTTGAATGAAGAGCAAATAAAAGCACCCATCTCTAGTACACCCATCCCTAGTACATCATTCTGTGAGACTTCAAACACCACCCACCCTGACAGCCCAGCCAGGGAAAGGCAACTGTAATCAGCTACCTGCAGTGGAATATAGATATGCTTAGACAACGGTGCACACACAGAGACCACACCCTGGATTTCTCCRCCATTCAGTCAAACCCACCTGAAAGAGTGGCACAACCTCAGATACACCCTGAGGATCTTCAGGGTCCTGAAGGAGGATACACAGGTAGTAGATAACTTTTTGCTACAAGACAAACAGACAAAAATCACTGGAGTATAAAAATGCTATCAAACTCCCTGGAGTTAGAGAGAGGATCTGTTTCAACTCACTGGGCTGAAGGCATATTGCACCAGGTCACAGTCAAGTCAACAAATTTATATCTATAGCTTTCACACAAGAAAAAAGTAATTTTACCTATTTTTTTTCTATTAAGTTTTTAACCTGGAATGAACACACACTTGCTGGAGCATAAGATCTTCTGGGCTTCGCAGAAGAGCCCAGAAATAGGAAAAATCATCATTTGTGTTGTTGTAGCTTCTCATCTCCATCTTGACTACTTATGGAGTTGGGCATCAGGATTTGTAAGAACAGCATAACACAAAGAACTAAACCCACTAGCTCAATGTCGGTGGCATTATCTTAGGGATAGATTTGGCTTTTTGAAGTTATTAGTTTGGTTTGAGTTCATTAAAGGAAAGAGAAGAGATGAAAGCATAAGGAGAGGAATCTGAAACAAAGCTCCTGATGTAAATCATGCTCATGGAAATACACTGGATGTGAGCGTGCCCAGACACAAGAAGAAAGACTGTGTACGATTACCATATGGATGGCTTCATTGATAACCACATCCTTCACCCGGCCCATCTCAATGAAGGTGGTGCTCTCTTTCCCTGAGGCATAGGATGAAGTCACCTGGATGCCGAGTGAGCCGATGACCAACAGGGACTCCTGGTCAATCTTCACAAAGTGCAGGTATACGATTAGGCCAATCAGTGTGATGAGGATGGCAGCAGACAGCACCATGCTATTCTGGAACGCAAGCAAAGGCAGAGCTCTGGTCTTACAATTACTTAACACAGCTTTAGAGAAAGTGAAATTGCACTGCAAATTGGAGTATTAAAGCCACAGTTGCAAAGCATTTTTACTTAGGTGGAGTCTTTTTATTCACCTGGCTGGCTGATATATATATAATGAGATTTAAATCATTCTTCATAGTATGGACTAAAAGACTGGGAGCTGAAACTGAAAACTGCAAGAAAATTCTATTTCCCTGTAAATTCAGTGCAGAAATCTCAACCCAAACAAGCCAATTATGTCRATTGCAGTGTATTAGACCAAGTTCTATAGAGATGATGTCACTGACAAAGAAGTGCTGTGAAATGTTTACTAGAACCAAGGGTGGATGCTCAGAGGGGAAGAACCCTCCTTCAGGAAAAAACACTGGTCTGGTGGTTTTCTTATGACAAACTGCCAGTCTAAACTTGCTCAAACCTCACCCTCTTCCTGCCTTAAATACCAATTTCTTTTTCATGCTGCAATCTTGCGACTGCTGTAACATTTTAATATACAACTGATGAAACTATAGTCCACCAGCAAGTCATCTGATGATGTGGTTATAAATTCTAAAGTTCCACAACCTATATCCTGTTTCTGGGCCATGTTTTAGAGAACTCCAGGCCACATASCCATAAAACAAAGCTGTAAAGCTGTAAACAAAGCTTACACTTCCTAAAGAACCAAAACTGCATAGCCCTACCACTCAAGCTGGGTCTGTACCACCTTGCGAGCTAAAGAAGCCATGGCTTCAGAAAGCATACAGGACTTCTCCAAAAGTTTGTTATCATGGGGGAAAAAAACCCCAGTCATGAAGTACAGACACTGAAATCAACACAAAGAGAGAAGCACTTTCAGACCTGATTTCCTGGCAAAAGAAGAATTGCAGTCACTCGCATGTGGGCTGCAAGAGCAAGTGTAAAGACAAGCAGGAGGGCAGTGGGTGGTAACCACTGGCTGGGGTGCATGCTTTCGTAAAAAGTCAAATCGAGCATGAGGCATCTTCTCCTGATTCCTGACAACTGACTCACATCTCTTTTCTTCATTTCTTAGGAAAGATTACTGAAAAACTGATGTGCAACAGTCAAAGCATGTGTCACAGTGACCAGCTTCTTTGGWCAAGCTACTGACTATGTCTGGAGATAACTGGTCTGGGTCCAGTTTTTGCTATATCCAAAAGTATTAGTTTAGATATCATCAGCTTTTGAAATCTGTACTGCAATCATCTTTCTGCCTCCGCTGTGAAATGTGATGACACTCATGGTACAATGTTCTCTAAGTCACTCAGAAAAATTCCTTTTGGGGATTAACAATCATTCACCTTCTTCAATACATCCTTTATTCCAGATTTTCACATCTCTCCAAGGAAGCACRTGTTATTTGGACCCACAAGCATTTGCCAGGCATCATGCAGCGCCCAGACATAATCTACCCTATCTGTCAAGCGGCTACAAACCAAAGGAAGGAACCCGAGAAGCCACCGGAGCAGTCAGGTGGCAGTCTGCGGCCCTGAGGCTGGCACAGCTCTCGGTGTGCCCCCACACACACCCAACCAGCTCGGCGCTCCGGGGGATGCCCAGGACAGGACCGAGCTCYGGGCCCCAAGGCTGCGCGGCCACCCGGGCCATCCCACCGCCCCCCGGTGCGACAGCGGGACACGGGGCCGGGCCCGAGGCGCGGCGGGGCCGGTACCTCGCTGAGCGCGAAGAGCCCGTAGGCCGCCAGCCACACGGCGGAGGTGGCGGCGCTGAGCGAGCGCAGCTGCAGGCGGGGCCCGCGCACCGCCAGCTCCCGGCAGGACGCGCTGTGCTGGCGGCGCCGCAGMGCGATCGGAGCCCCCGAGGCCGAGCGGAACCGCCGCTCCTCCGCCATGCCGGGCAGGCGGGGCCCATCCCGSCCGGCCGCACCTCCTCCCTGCCGCGGGAGGAGCCTGAGCCGAGGGGCGGCTCCGCAGCCTCTGCCCGCTCGCTCCGGGGCTCCTGCTGGGAGTGCCGGCGCCCGCTCTGTGCCCCGGGTGCTGCTGCTGCCGGATTGTCTCGCCAGGCGTCTTTCCTTAATCCCGATGGCATCAGCACTTTCTGCGGTTTGCATATGTTGATAATTCACGGCTTGCTTCCTCTGTTTATGGAATATCAGATTTAAAGGGCACAGGTTTTAGTGGTGCTRTGCGTGTCTCCTGGTGTGATGAAGAGACAGGGGTTTTCCTAGAATCACAGGATGTTAAGGGGTTGGAATGAACCTTAAAGATCATTTAGTTCTAACCCACCTGCYGTGGATAGGGACACCTCACACTAGACCAGGTTGATCAAGGCCTTATCCAACCTTACTTTGAACGCTGCCAGGGTTGGTGCATCCACCAGCCTGGTCCAGTGTCTCACCACTCTCACAGTAAAAAAATTCTTCCCAATATCTAACCTAAATCTCCCATCTTTCAATTTGTACCCATTATTCCTTCTCCTATCACTATAATTCCTGATTAAAGAYCTCTCTCTGACTTCCCAGAAAAGTCCCTTCAAATTCTCCATGTAAGCTTCTCTTCTCCAGAAGGTTCTCTTTCCCCCATTTGTCTTTACCATTTGCAACTACATAATTGTGTTTTCTTGTCTGTACCATGCTTAGCTACAAGCTCTTTTGAGTTAATTTTTTCCCCCAAGGTTTAAAGCAGAGTTTTCTTGTTCCTTGCCATCTGAGTACATGATAAATTGGAGACTTGGCTTTGCATACAGAGACTTAATGAGTCTTTGTATGGTGTTCTCTTTAATCCATTTCAGTTATTACTTGGTGTGATTTACCTGGCAGTAATACAGAGCTACAGCTCTGTGACTTCCAAACTGGCATCCTGATTCCTTTTTATTATTTCCCTTCTCCCTTTCCCTTCTCTCCAGTTTTCGAGTGAGTGTTAGATTTAATTGCAGGTGCCATATTTCTGTAAGCAATTTACTTCATGGTATCTCCATGGCTCTTGGGTGGGTACTATATTTATATAAATCCATTAACTTGTTCTCATAGGGGCAGCAAAGGAGTTTTAAGGGACATGAAAAACCAAGGAACATCAGAGAATCACTACCAAGATCTTCGTTTGGCCTGGAGAAGGGGTTGATGGCTGGTATCAGCGGGAAGTCTCATACAGTATGTCCAGGATCTCACTATGACACGGTAGACCAGGGGGAAGGATGGGATGGAGCTCTGAAGGGGAAAGATGAGCTGGCCTGGGAGGGAAAAGAGTAATGGTAGACAATGAACTGCAGAAATGGAGGAGAAAATGTTGAAGTTCAAAAGAATATGAAAGAAGTTCATAGACGGAGAGAAAGTGGGAAAAAAAACCCCAGTAAATTGAAAACAGTGTTACAAGCTCTTAAAAGAGGGAAGAAAGGTTTGAAAGGACTGAGGTAAACAACCAGGAGTTGTAATAGCTGGTATGACAGCTTTGGAGGTGGCGACAGGGAGAAGGGGAAAGTCAAATCAGAGGAGGGGGTAGAAGAGGTAAAAGCAATGTGAAGAGTCAGGTCAGTAACAGCAAGGGAAAGAAACACGAAGTCCTGAAGGAGTGTTGATGATAATTCACATTAACAACAGGACATAGGCGGTTACTGAGAGACAGGAGAATTTGTAAATCTTAAGAGGAAAAAGCAAATGTGTGCTTGGATTTTTTTGTGTGTCACTGGCAAGTTCCAGTTTAACCATATTTATGCCCTGTCATCTCATGAACTCTGTCAGCCATTTTTTCTAGCATATACATAAAGACTGCACATTTGACAGTGGGAGTTCTGTTGCCTTGTCACAGCGGGGAACGGTGGGGACTTTCCACTCGTTTTWAAATCATCCGTTAACCATCCTTCAAATGTACCCAGAATGGGAACAGCTGGTGACTTAAGAATCGTCTCAGGCCACGACCCTCCGAGATCAATGAGGCAGGTGCTAGAGAGATGGCTCTTCAATGCTTTATCAAGGTCATCGGATGAAGAGCGTCACCCGCTTTCCTTCAGCAATGCCAGGGATCCGGGATCCGGGATCCCGCACGGAGGCTCTTGGGAGCTCCGAGTGGCCAGCCAGGGAGCCCGGCTAAGGTGCCGCCCGTTCCCCGAGCCGCCGCTCCCTGCCAGCGGCTGCCCTGGCCCCGCGGGGGGGGTTGGTGAGAAGCCGTGCAGAGCCGGCGGCCCGGCGGGGCCTGTGAGCCGTGTCCGCAGCGGCAGCGGGGCGAGGAGACCGGCAATGGAAAAACCCCGGCCGGGAGGGGCGGGAGGGGCGGGGGCGGGACACACCTCCGGGCGCGCGCGCTGCTGTTGGCCGGGCGGCGCGGAGCCCTCAAGAGAGCGGGGCGCGGGCGGCATCGCCACCATCGCCACCATCGCCACCGCACTGCCATGGCTCTGCGCGGCTCCTTCTCCCGCCTGCTCCGCGCTCAGCCCGACGCGGCGCTCCGGCCGCACCGGCGGGCGCACTCCGTGGCGCTGGTGGGAGCCCCGCTCTCCAGGGGGCAGGTGGGCATCGCGGGGGGCGCCGGCTGCAGCGGCCACCCGGCTCTCCCGCCCCCGGCGGGGCGCGCGTACCTGGCTGCGGGCAGCGCGGTCTGACGCGTTCCYCCTCTCTTTGTTTCGCAGAAACGGCGCGGAGTGGACCACGGWCCCGCTACCCTCCGCTCCGCGGGGCTGGTGGAGCGGCTGGCCGGGCTCGGTGAGCACAGCACGGAGCGGCGGGCGGGGCGGGGGTGGCGGCGGGGGCTGCGGGGCTGYCCGCATCGTCCCCCTCTCCTCTCCTCTCGGGGCGGCGTGACTCAGCCGCTCGCTGCGGGTGGGGGGAGACGGCTCCTGCCTCGGTGACTCACGGAGCGCACCGTGCCCCGGCGATGCCCGCAGCCTTGCGGCGTGTCGGGAGGGAGAGGCTTGTCGCATTCCGCACCGGGAGGAGCCGCACCGGGCCCTGCGGGGGTGCCCGGAACAAAGAGCGGCCGGTGGTCCAGGCTCCCCGGCCGCGATGCGCTCCGGCTGCCCAGGAGCAGCGGGGCGCACGGCGAGCGCTTCCCGGCACACGGAGCGTGGGTTGTTCCCGTGGTGACTCCGGGAGGCTCTTTGAAACGCTGTRTGCGCTCAGTGCATCCAGACAAGTGACTGTGAGCCTCGGCTTCTCACATAGTATRTATGAGCTTTGGTGCTTTTTGTTGTGGGCTTTTTTTTCCCCTTCCATCTTCGTTACCAGTTTCTTCCTAAAATATTCGTATGGTTTCAGGTGATGAAATTGAGAACTTCCTGGAGAAGTCCTCAGTTTTATGTATGACTTCTTTTCTGAAGTCTTGCTTTGAAAATGCRTGCAAGTACCATTCTGTGAATGGACTATTTCTGATCTTTTTGTGCAAGCAAACGTGTTTCAGCTTCTCACATCTATTACTTTTACGAGTTGAGACCCACAAAACTGTATCACAAGTTACTACAAAGAGGACACGAGGGATATGAACTCGAAAAGCTGAACTCTTGTCTTGAAGAATCTTTAATCTAAAAAAGTGTTGCTGAAAACCGTGTGATGGGGATTGAAGGGCTGGACCACAGAAAGAACGGATAGCTGCTCCTGTGGGTGGTTAGTGTSAGTGGAATTTGGATACCTACAGAGATAATTGCCTAATAACCCTCTGGCAATTTTATTCTGAATTGTAAGAACTCTTGGAAACAGAGGCCATTGTTCTGTGCAGCCCTGTAGGCTTGTCCTGCATCTTTTACGCTACACAAGCTGAAAAGTCCCCATTTGCAGCCAGATGAGCAGGTATTCTTTTCGTGTCTTGTTTTGTGCACAGACACATGCTATCCTTGGCAATTTTTGAATTCTAGAGAACATGATCTATAACCTCAGCAAATATGGAAGAGGGCATCTAAAATGGTTCTTTGTACTGGAATAGTTACAGAGCTTATAGTTAATTTGAAACTAACAAATAGCTAGGTTTGAAAGGAGAAGGCTATTCTAAATAAGACTAGGTAGCAGATTATTTTGTATCAATAGCAGGAGTTTATACTTGCAAGGCTTAGGGTTTTCTTTCAAGTGGTTCGGGCTAATGTTTCCACTGTGTAAGAATTCTTTAAGAAAAAAAAAACAAAACAAACAAAAAACAAACCAAACCCACAAAATCCAGCAAAATTAAAAACTAGGAGAAAAAGCCCTCTCATTTGCTTGACACGAGCTCACTTCAATAGGATCTTGTGGAAAGTAGAAAGAAAGGGTAATTCAAGCCCTTTCTGGATTCCAGTACTGATGTGTTGTGGGGATAGAAATGAGACAAGCTAAACAAAATTTAAAAAAACTCCTTCACTGTTTAGTTTCTTATGGGTTGTTCACTCATTAATCAATAATGCACATGGAGATATTTTCTCACTGTTCCTTTACAATTTTTAGAGGCTCTGGGATTTCTGCCTTCTGCAGTTGCAGTTTCCTGTTGCTGGCATGTTCTTCCACTGGGGTAGGGTTGGTTTGTTTTTTAAGTTGGTGTCGATGTCTATTGCTGCTTAAATCTCTGCAGCCCTTTTAAGAGGTTCTGCTGTGAGGGCCATCCTGAAACAGTGACACTYACCAGCATGCACAGAGGTGTGGTTTACAGGGCAAAGACAATTTGCTTGAGGGGAGGGTGGTAGATGGAGGAGGATGCTGCCATGTAGTCATTTGTGCTGTGCACATTTGTTCATGGAAACTTAACAAATTATTTGTGTTTATGTGTGGGCTGCTTATTTTTCTTCCCTGGGATGCCAGGGTAGCTTTGGCTGCAGTACTGTTGTAATAGTGTCATTTCTTGGAGTCCTGTGGTATGCTGAACTGGCACTAAAACTTTAGGTGCTTTCTTTGTCTTTCTAACACTATGAATTTTCTTCTCATACTTTTAAGAAGGCCACAGTATGCTTCTCATTATTGATTTGGATATTCTACTTATCCTTTTTGTTGTAAAAGTTACTGATTTTCATGGGATCTTGATTGTTTTCCAGGAACAGGCAAATTACACTGCAGCAGACCAGGTTTCTCCTTTAAAAAGAAATAACATTTATCTAAGATACAGGTTTCTTCATCTATATTGGCCAGTTTTGAAGCATTTGTGAACKTAGGGTGGATGTGGGAAGTGTTTGTTACATGTCCCCATTCCCTGCTTTGATGTGAAAGAAAGCTATAAACTTGATTTTCTGTGTCATTACAAGTTTGAAACCAGGCATGAGGCTGAATGCAGAATGATGCTTCCCTGTAGAACAGTGAGGGTGGATTCTGGGCTGTCTAAAGAAGTACAGGTCRGGGAGAGAGGCAAAACTGTGATGAAAACTCTAACTGCGAAAATTATCGTTGCCTTCTTTCAAGTGGAAGAGATTTCTGGTGAACAGAGTCTTCTGTTTACCTGAAAAATTAAAGTTTGATTTATTCCTTTTCCATTTGTAATTCAAGCTCAACTTGACCTGTATAAAATGAAGGTGTTTTGGAGGATCCTCTAGAAGGTAGCGTTTGGGTAGTTAGATGCTAGCTAGATACTATGAGTGTTACTTTGACTATGAGGCAGCCACATGGCTCTTCACATGTTTGTGTGCCTGATTTAATGACTGCTGGTGATAGTGCTCCAGCCATATCAGAAAGATGAGAATGCTGAACCTTGTTTCCACTTTTTGCATTATATTGCACTTTGCTTTCACTGGCTGGTGAATTTGGGAGGGGATTATATTGTTCCTTTGACCCTATCCTAATTCTAATTCATGTTCTTTCATAGCCTAATTGCCATGTTCTGAGCTGCTATTCCAATTTCTATTTTTGGGGGGAATGGGGKGGGGGGGGGGGGAATCCCTCCCTTGAAAGATTCTGTGACCACACCACATGGTACGGTAACTTCTTGGCCCCCTCAAGTAATGACTGCCTATGAACGGCTTGTTTACGCTCAGATGAAATCTGAGGAGGGAACACAGAGGYAGATGTTATTGCTAATCTGTACCAGACTGTCAGAGATGCATCTGAGCCACCAAGATGACTTTTACCTCCCTGTTAGAAGCAGAAAGGCCACTGTTAGGTGTTGCTGGTAGCTCAAGGTGTACTCAGGAAGAGTTACTGCAGCAGGAGCCCATCTCCTGAGCCAAAAGCAATGGGTGTGGAGGTCTGGCAGGAGTAATTTAAATTATAACTGACTCTGCCTGTGGGGATTTTTATTCACCTTGGCAATGTTTGTCTTTTGGCTTTGCTTCTTCTCTTAAAGGAAACTAAAATATTACCACCTTAAAGGACATCTTGCCAAAGAATTAAAAGTGTTATGTGGAAACAGAGACCCGTAACTCCTCAGCATGGGGAAGAAAAGGATGCAAAGCATGTAGGGCTGTGTAYTGCTCTAACAGTAAACAGAAATGRGTGCAGTATGTGGAGGCTTTTGGACTTTTGCTGGGTAGGAGTGGGGAATATAGGTGACAGATGCATTTGGCCTAAGCTATAGAAGGTGCAAAGTGCGAAGATTTTTGAAGTGAGGATTTCTTGGGCCTCTCCTGTTTGCTGCAGATTAGGCAGAGAATCTGATCAAACTTCAATGCAGAGTTTTGCCTAGTCCTCTTACTCAAGAGAAAGGCCTTACTCAGTTTTATACTTAATAGATAGCTGCTGTGTCTTGCCGTAACCCTTGTGGTGACTTAACACCTCTGCTGTTGCTAGCATGGGAACAACTTTGGTGTAAGATTTCTTGCCCTGTTCCTGATTGTTAAATTAAATTTTTTTGTCTTTATTTAGATTTGGATGCAGCTGGGTTGCTGATTTTAGTCAGGCTTGGATTTAGATTACTGTAGAATAGATTAGCAAAGTTTGGATCAGAGTTGCTGGCTTGACAAGTTGGTGAACTGCAGAGACATGTGGCTTACACACAAAATAGAACTATACTTGTCAGAGAGAATGGCTGTATGACGCTCATTCTTCTGTTTAACCAGAAAAAAGTTCTTCAGTAATAGATTTCATGACGTTGGTGTAGTGACTCAGAAGGGAGTAACCTCCTCTAAAAGAGGAGTGGAGCTGTTAATCCCCATGTCACAGGAGTTACACTCTTGCTTTGCCCAAAACCATTGGACTCCTATTGACATCTGCTGCCAAAAATAGCAATTCAACTTCGCTGCCTCACCAGGATAGCTCATAGGGTTAGTATTAACAATAAATCATGAGGCAGCTGCCTCTACATATCTCTTTTTCCACTGGAATCTTCTTCAGTGAAGAGTTTAGGAGGAAGATAAACAGTTTTTTGGTTTTACACTAATTAATGCATAAATAAGTGTAGGTGCTGGGATTYAGCAGATGTGAATTGGTAAGATTTATAGCTGCATTCTTGGGAAAATAAGTTTCATCAGTCCATTCAGTAAATGTGCTTAAAGAGTTGCCTGTATGCCTGAAGACTTTGATAAACTGTACCATTCTGCTTGCTCTGGATTTGAATTACGGTTGGATTTACATGTTAGAAACAAGATCTGTCAGGATTCTTGGATTAGATTCTAGCTTAGTTTTGCACTAGCTTTTATCTCAGTTGTTTCTCTGCAATACTCAATATTTTAAACTTGTAGAGAAATTAGTAGAGCCAGTCAAATATCTCTCAATTTGCAGAATTCCAATAAAGTCTAAATTCATTGTATAGCTAACATCAAGATCTAGCTTTTTTTAATTTATGTTTTCTGCTGTTGGTAAAGCTGAAATGGGAGACAGGCAAG